TTGATATTTGAACCGAAAAGGGTCCGACATTCGAGCCAGGTCCGGTATTCGAACCGGATGTCCAAAAGATAGAAATACATGTCTCAAGACTAGAGGCATATATCCAAATCCAGTGAGAGGGAAGAAAGTCAGCAACTCTCTCAGCAGTTTTGTCCACAAGATGAGTACACGTGTCTCAGGACTGGGGGCACGTGACTACATGGGTGCGACATTGTCTCGTCACTCTTTATAAAGGGGGTGGACGGACACCCTAACTGTATGGTAAGTTAGTAAGTTCACTAACTACCGTATTTTCTTCTATTCAAGAAGTGCCTGTTCCTGAAGGTTTGGCGCGCCTGTCGACTCGTGAGCTAACGCCTACAGTAATAGTCTACCTTTTAGTTCCAAGAGGTAGATCTCGCAAAGTTTGGGCTGAGGTGAAATTTTACGCAACACCTACGCCGTACAATTTTACGTTGTATGCTACGCCATTTGCATTTTTACGCTGCATGAAAACGCCTTCCTTTTGCGTCGGACATGAAAAGGAAAAAAACCCGGACACTTATAACGTCAGTACAGTAAAATGACAAACCTATCTATAGATGCTTTTACGTAAAGCACCACCACGGAACGTCTTAAGGCACGCTTACGAAAAACGTTCAAAATGTATGCTTGGGGAAGGCACAAAGCACGGTGTGCATGCAATATGATGCAAAAACTATCAAAGAAGAAAATAAACTACAAATGCAAAGCAAATAAAAAGGATTTTGATATTTTGCGCGCCATTACGTCTAATAACGAGCAAAACCGTTGAAAAAAATGATCAAACGGATTAAAATCCAGATATCGGTCATTTTAGTGACCAGTATCCGCGCGCAACTCAGTAGGTCGCGCTGGCCAGGCGTGCGCATCATTCTGAGTTGCGCTGGTCTATCACGCGCAACTGATTCAGTTGCGCGTGACACTTAGTTCAGCAAAAAGAAAATCGCGCAGCGCGATTTTTCATTTTGTTCTCTCTCTCCTTCCTTCATGATTTCGCTTCTTTCTTTCTCTAAAGAGCTCGGATTTTATTTTTTTTCAAAGCTAAAGGAAGTAGATCTTGTCCTTATTCATTTTTGCCATTATCCAATGTAAGTTTTCGCTAAAGTTCGTTTTCTTTTGGCTGAATTTTGGGAGATTTTCGAATCATTAAACCCCAAATTTCGAACTTGTGTATTTTTTATTCGGCTTGTTTCCATGAATTTGTTTGTTTGTCGCTGTTTGAAGGAATATATTGTAACAAATTTCATGCGAAGTTGTAAATTATTGATCCTGTATGAGCATGTCAAGCATATATGTGTGTTTTTTTTTTGTTCATTCTAATTTTGACTTTGCGCTTGAACTTTATTTGTGTTTTTTTTTTTGCTTATATAGACTATACTTGTTAATTTTAATGTAAATTAAAGTGTTTAGAACAACAATTATGCATTAAAATTATAAATAATATTTTGAACTTTTATAATAGCATGAATTTGTTCTTGCGACTCATGTTTATTATTATTATTTTTTCATGCGTAAGTTTCTAAACTGGTTTTATCAATGATAAAAATAACCGACGGTTATTATTATTCACTTATAAAACTGTGATCTCAAAATTTGCACAAAACTAGTTAGTTTAGGAAATTCTTGAAGACATCATCGAACTAGAGTAGTTTGGCTATATTTCGGGCTTTTGAGCCCCCATTTTATGTTTTCGAACATTGTAGCCCCCCAATGTTGGGTGACTTTGATGACTTGTTTGTTTTTAATAATTAGACCCTTTCATGTTGCTTGAAATGGATCTAAAAATCTTATGTTTCGTCTTTTTATGATAACAACTAGGATCTTGGAAACGATTAAACTAGTGTGTTTAAATAGTTTTTTGACCATTCATAGTTTTAACAAATAAATTTGCTAGGTCTAGTGATATTGGTCATTCATTAGAACAAGTAAGAGGAAAAATGAAATGTTGTTCAAATTTTTCGTCTATTCTTGCTACTTTTGAATTCTTTCTTTTGAGTTCAAATTTTGTCACTTTTTGAAGCTCGAGAAAGTAGATGTTATCCTCCTTGAGAAATTCTAGTGGAGAATAATTTAGAATGAAGACTCCTTAACTTAGAATTTAGGATTATTTTGTTTACATTCTAACTCATGAAATTGTTTGTCTTGATACAATTTTCATGATGAATGATTGAGTACTAAAATTTCGTACGAGCAAGTATTTTTTTTATGTATCATTATTTTGTTTCTTTGTTCTTTACTAGTCATACTCTCTAATCTCTAGAGTAAATTGAGGTATTGAAACAACAATTATGCACTAAGATTAGTTCTTGAAGTTGAACTTGAAAATGGCTCGAATATGTAACTTGTTTCATGTCCAAGTTCAATTGTAAACTTAGTTTTCAAAGGAACAAAATCATTATTAAATCATTGTGATGCATTTGAAAATTGTAAGGCTCAAGTTCTACGTAAACCATTTGTAGTTTAGGCGATTCTCGAAAGTAGCTCGAATGACATGAATATCTCATTTTATTTTTTTATTGATATTGGAGCCCTCATGTGTCGGGTTATGCGCATTCTTGCTATTTCACAAGTATTGGAGCCCCCACTTTGGGATAGTTCTAATGACTTGCTATTGTTTAGGCCATTCGAATAATCATGATATTGGGATGGACCTATGTATGTATCCTATTTTTGTTTTTTTAGATATATAGGACAATGACATGGCTTTTTCATTTAAGTTAAAGTCATGTTCAAGAAAGCAAGTTAGTTCTTTTCTTGTTTACAAACCAAAAACAATTATTGTGTTTAAGGTTTAATAATCTTACCTAATGTCTAAACGTTTGTAAAGATCATTGCAGTGATTTTATTTTCAAAGTTGATTTAGAACATCAAATATTTTCTTTGTTCTTATCAATCTTTGATTTTGGTCTTGTAGGTGGTTCGTTTACCATCCCTTAGCCAATATTCGCGGGAGAACTAAGCGAGAACAAGTTCAAGTCAAGAAGAAGTCGAATCTTTATTCGTTCCTTTTGGAAATTGTAGGGAATAATTTCAAGCGTTAACCCCTAGCTTGAACCCCACTGTGATCGTACACTAAAGTACGGTGGCGTCCAAAAGGGAAGAAGATAGAGCAAAAGAGTCGCCAACAAGTTTTAGGAACTTGTAAACCGTTCACAGGGTGAAGGTTACACCCCTTAACGATCCAAGAGATCGTCAACTCCATAAGGTCTTGAACCAAATAAGGGTTCGGGGATGAAGGTACTAACATGCAATCAATAGGATTAACCCTAAACCTGTTTAATCTATGTTGGTTGAATTTAATGCACAAATAAATCTATTATTGGCGATCACTTGAATTATAATCATACACTACAAAAAAATTACTTATAGAAGCAAGTAAAAAATGCCTCTAATAATAATGATGTTGCCTCTAATAACTTTTAGAGATAATTAATCAAGTGCCTCTAAAAATTTCGTCGCTAATTGATGGTGGCCTCTGAAGCCTCTTTTAGAGGCAATACAATGCATTGCTTCTAAAAACCCGTATATTTAGAAGCAACTATATAATCTTGCCCCTAAATATATTTAGAGGCAATTGTATAATCTTGCCCCTAAATATATTTGGAGGCAGCCATATAATCTTGCCCCTAAATATATTTAAAGGCATTATGAAAATTTGCTTCTAAATACCATATATATTTAGAGGCAACCTTATAATTTTGCCTCAAAATATATTTAGAGGCATTATATCTATTTGCTTCTACATACCATATACATTTAGAAGCATTCATATAGTTTTGTCTCAAAATATAATTAGATGCAATTTTGTATATTAATGCTAATGATATTTAGATGCAAATTAGAAATTTGACATAAAAGGTTTTTAGAGGCAAAAGAACATTATATATGCCTCTAATATATTAATTAGAAATGTTTAGAAATTTATATTACAAGAATTTTTTATGTCATGATATAATTTTTTTTGTACATTTATAGGCAAAATCATTTTAAAAGATTTATCATCATGTCAATATAACATATGTAAAGCAAGTTGATTTCATTAAATCAAACAAAAATGACATTATTAATAATTTAATAGTCATTACATTATTGATCCAAAAATATTTATTTAAGTTACTAAACTACTTAACTTCAAAATAATTTAAAATAAATTTGGATAATATGAATACAAAAGAGTTTTCTATCTAAAACTTTAAGCTTGAAAACAAAATTATTTTCTTCAATTTCTTCCAATTCTATCTCTAGCCATCTTCATTATATAATTTCCTGTCATTGAAAAGTATGAAATTAAATATTTGTTACAATGATGAAAAAATTAGATTTAAATAAGTATAGATCACTAATTCATAAAATAAAAAATTAATAAAACAAAGCTATAAATGATCATAATTAAATGTTATCACATCCAAAGAAAGATTAAAAAATTTAGTTCACTAGAACTTACAATGAATGAAAATAAATGTTACTACTACTCTTCATCTACTTGAATTTCATCATCCTCTTCATTGTCATCGTCATTTTCATTATCTTCCTCATCGTCATCCTCGTTATCATTAACCTATATTTTCATAATTAGTATGCAATGACAAACAAAAACTATTTTTTAAATTTAATCCAATAATCATATAATAGTATTAAATAATGAAATATACCTCATCCATATTTATTTCAGACAAATCATAGCCTAGATGGTTCAAAATATTCCCCATGAAATCTTTCATGAACTCCATTTCATTCTGAAGGCCTCTCATCTTTTTAGCTAGGGCTTTATTTTTCACATTAGCTTCTTTTGCCTCTTGTTTAGCCTCTATTGCCTCATTCTTTGCTTCATCGGCTTCTTTGTGTAACTTTTCTCCTTCACTAAATGTCCCATATAATGATGTAATAGAAGGACTGACTCCCTTGCCACGATAACGACCACGTTTACCAATGGGCTTAACTTTTGCATAGATTTCGTCATCGGTCATGTCTATTTATCATGCCTCACGTTGCATAAGGAGATCTTTAATTTTTTACTGTATAAAAAAAATTAAATGCAAGATTAATCAAAAGGGGAAAAACTAAAAACACTAATAATTACAAATGAAATCAATTAATTATATACTAGATTGATCCTACAGAGAGAATAAAGGCCACAAGTCTTTTTAACTAATAACAAATAAAATGTATCTTTACTTCTACATAAATTTGGACAGCATTTCCCTTATAATATGACTGAAAACCAACTTTAATATAATCATTTCAACCTGCTGTCACACAATAAACATAAAACAACTCCAACATCATTTCAATCACAACACATATACCACCTCCACAATTAACTTTCAGAATACCTTTAATAATATAGGAATAAAAAACAAAAATACGATGGATTAATTTATTGATAGGATTTGTTCATTAGCTTTTGTAATACATTATAGATATAGTATGATTTTTCAATATTATTCTTACTACTACGTAAATTCTTACCATGGTTTCTTTTGCCACTTCAGTGATAGGTGCTTTATCACTTTTAGAATGAGTTTCCTCGTATAAATCCAACATGCTTGGCACTACTTTGTCACGATTGAACTGATATCATAAAAAGTTACATCATAAAATTACTTTTTTTTTTTTGCAAAAAAAAAAAAAAAAAAAAAAAAAAAAGGAAAGAGTTTACCATGTCTTCGGCTTTTTGAGCAAAACTCTTTGTCCCAGCAGTATGTCCAGCATCTTGGTAAGATGGATTGTCAGCATTTCTTTTACTTATGGCCTTTAAAATATGAAAAGTAATATATAATTAATGTCCAAAACTAAAAAAGAAAGAAAGAAATATATGATAACATTATACTATACCTTAAATTCTGTTGACCCAAAATATTCAACAAGTCATTTCCAGTCATTTTCATCAACATTTGGAGGCATATTTTCCTCTTTAAGTCGATCTTCATTTGTACCAACTGTATCATAATAAGTATTCTTCAATCTTGCGCGATAATTCCTATACTTCTTATTCAAAGATTCCATGATAAACTTTTTTCTTTCTTTTAACTTCTTTTCACGTCCCTTTTCATCCTCAAGTCCTATATCAAATTTTTCCTTTACAATACATAGAAATGTAGTTATTAGTGCCCCAAAAAAAAAAAAAACAAAAAAAAAAAAAAAAAAAACAAAAAAAATTGCAAGAAAAACATAATCTATTTGTATCAAGGTATAAAATTAAAAAAAAAAAAAAAATATACTAGAACAAGTTGCCACATCTTCTCCTTATTTTCTTTCGAAATCTATGAAAATACTTTCACCTCATAAAGTGGATCGTTAAGAGGATCTCGTACAAGAGCACCACAATAATTTGCCAAACATGCCCTATTCACACCAATTGGCTGACCTTTTATGTTAAAATCCACTTTTTTTTTTCTCACCAGGTCTCATTTTTTCCATTTGAAGATTTCTTGTAGGGTCTCTAGGATTGTTAGTCTTATAAGTTTTTCTCTTTTTTTTAGTTCCTATAATATAAAAACATTATGAAATGTATTAATTCGTGCATTGTAAATAAAAACCATTGAATAAATAACAAATAAAACCATTGTTGTCTTCTCCTTCATTTATAGGTATTTCATCATCATAACTTCTAATCATGTCTGCATTGTTGAAATCTTCTTGTCCTTTTAAAGTAATATCATCTCTTGTTTGATCCAAACTGTTATCACCTTCTCGACCTTGCAAATCATTATCATTATTATTTTCAGAGTGTTGCGCTTCATCTCGTCCTATATCAAGTACATTTTGGGGCAAGTTAGTAGAATATGCCAAAATTGAGAAATCACATGAATATTTCCTTGTATACCTCTTCCGGTTTTATCAGCGTTTTTATTTCCTTGTCTTGCCTGTCTTTTTTTATTTGATCTTAATAACCTAGCAATTGACATTGGTGGAATGAGATTGCTCCTTCGATCCCTTTCTTTGTTCTCATTAATTTTAACCTGGAATTTTTTATAATAAAGAGTAGGTAACCAAATATAAGATAATGCATGATTTTTAGATAGTATCCAAGAAAAACTTTACGAAAAATAAGTCAATACCTTCTTATTTGAAGTCACATTGTGAGTTTCTTTCTCATATTCAACTTCCTCATTCTCATCGGGTACATAATCACTATCTTTCTCAAGAGATGCATTACACTTTTGTTTACTTTTCTTAACTTTTGAGCTATCTACTAAACTTGTGAAAGAAGCGGCAATGCGCTTTATGCCCAAAGTCTTCATCCTCGTCTTGTTAGCTTCAATTGTCCTGAGTCTTTGTATTTCATACTCATTTTGAGCTATGTAGTTTTCTTTTGAAGGAGCCTTTCCTCCTGATCTTGACATATTGGAGCTAAAGAAGAAAAACTATTAGAAATCAAAGTGATAAACTACGGTAAGTATGTGCATGAATAAAATCATTACAATAAATCAAAACCTTGTAAAATTATTTAAACCAAATAATATTTTAATTACTGGATTAATTTTGTCTATTTGACATATTAAGAAACCTTAAATGTCATAAAATTGTCTTTTATGTATTTGTGGAGTGTATATTGTTTAGCCATATGCTTATATAGGGCTCCTATTCTAATTATTCATTGTTCTTGTTGGAGATAGCTTGACTTACCTGACTTGTATTAGTTACTACTGATTCTCTTTCTTCTTTTTTTTGTTTGCTATTTGTCTCTCTATTTTTTTGTTGATATTTTGTTACTTTTTTTGGTGCAAGTTAAAACACGAGTACATTCATTGAATTAGTGCACACTACAGTGAAAAGATTGCCATGATTATTAAATAAAAAAATTGATAGTTGATTTAAATAAAGTTTCATGCAAACACAATTGACAAGTAGCTAATACATTATGGTTAAATATTTTTTTAACATCATTTTTTGATAATCTTCTAAGTTATATATTTTATCAATCTTATAGGTGACAAATTTGTCAAAGGATAATCATCCAAGTGCTACTACTAACTTAAGAGCATTAGCACAAGGTCCCGATCGTGCAGTGATTTCTGTAAATGGCTACATGGTTAATGGATTTATGTTTCGTACAAAGGATAATGAAAGGGGAAGAGAAACAAAAAATAGTGGGATCGTTGTGAACGGAGAAAGTGGATCATCAACTCTTGATTATTACGGCCTCTTACAAGAAATCATAGAAGTTCAATACCTTGGAGGTAATTGTGTCACTTTGTTAAAATGTGACTGGTGGGATGTGCATAGTCATGGTCAAGGGATCAATAGAGATTGTTTTGACTTCATAAGCGTTAATACATCAAAGTTGTTAGCTAATGATCCTTACATTTTAGCTACACAAGCTCACCAAGTATTTTATGTCAATGATGTTTTGAAGTCAAATTGAAAGGTTATACTTAAGACCACACCAAGAAACTCCTATGATGTTCCGGAGCTCAATGATCATGATGAAACTAATTATATGGATACTATATATCCATGACCCTTTATTATTATTTTTTTTTAATATAATTGTAAAACTATTGCCGTCTAAATATAGGTTCCTAGCTACTTTATATGTGATGTTATTTTTTAATATTATGATTTGAGAGGAGTACGTCAATTATTCCAAGTAATTACATAATGGAATTGGCCATAATGGATTGTCTCAAAAAAATTAATCTTTTCAAGAGTATTCTGAAAGATCATTGAAATATTATTATTGCCGTAATAAGAATTTTATATGAGTATGAGTAGTAATTTATAGAACTTTCGCTGCTTTCTTATTGTATGTGCTAGTAGCTATGGAGTAGTTGATAGTCTTGCCTTATTTTTCTACTCGTAATATTTATTTAGATACATTTTAAATTCATTATAAAAATACCAAAAGTATATTGTAAATACATTGAAAAAAATAAAATATAGAGGCAGATATAGATACAGGGGTATAGTTTTGGGGACATGGATGACATTAGAAGTAGTGTCTGACTTGGTGTACCTCCTTTATTCACTTGTAGATGTTATATAGTTTACTATTGATTTGCACCAAAAAAAAATAATAAATAAAATAAAATAAAAATAAAAAATACTTGGATAATTGTTACACGAAAAGTGTGATATGAAGAAGAGCGTAATAATTGACTCTAACTCAACAACCTTCGAACTCCATTGAATTGATTTAAATATCCAGATTCTTCTTCAATTCCTTGATGATCATAGCTTATTGAATTATCAAGCTGATTAATTAGAATAAAAATAATAACTAAAAATTCTGAAATTAAATAAGTTTACTTGAATTATAGTATAATTATCCGATATAATTCTAAAATTTTTGCACATGAATTATGTGATATCTATAGTCTATACATACAAATTTACTCCGAAAAATTGAAAATTAGTAAGCTACTTTAATCTGATCTATGGAGGGTGATATAGAGAGAAAACTAACCAAAGATAAGATCTATAGAGAGAAAATTAACCAAGTAATTGTTGCAAATTGGAATTAAAAAGCTTAAAAGGTTGCCAAATTAAAGGCTCTTGTACAAGGCTTGCATAAGAAGAATAGCCATTTAATTATTTCTCTCAATGCATCACTATACATACAATTTCCGATTTTATTAAAGGCCATTTAAAAACTTTTAGAGGCAACCATAATTTCTCTATTGCTATATAAAAATAAAACAAAATAAAAAACTTTTAGAGGCAACATAAAATTCATTATTGCTATAAATAACTTTTAGAGGCAACCAAAGTTTCACTAATGCTAAAAATGAACTTTCAGAGGCAATTATAAATTCACTAATGCTAAAACTAACTTTTAGAGGCAACAATAACCTCATTGATGCAAAAAAGAACATTTAGAGGCATCATATAATCCACTGTTGCAAAAACTAACATTTAGAGACAATCATAGTTTAATTTATGCTAAATATATCTTTTAGAGGCTATGAAAAATTATTTGCCTCAAAGCTTTGCCTCTATAGATAAATTTTCTTGTAGTGATAATTAACCCTAACAAGATTATTAATTATCTTATTAAACGTGATTACAAGTATAAATTCCCTTTAAACATGCGTAAAAGGCGTGATCAAGCAATAAAAATAAATAAATATCAAGCAACATAATAATAAATCAAAATAATGAAATTATAACCATTATAATCATAACAATCATAATTATAAATAATCAATAATAATAATTGTAACAATTATAATCATAAATCATAAAGTATAATCATAATAACAATCATATTAATAATAATGTTAATCATGTTAAAGCATAGCAAGATCCTAGGCATGATACTAACAAGATTAATAACAAACCCTAGCATGTCACTAAGAAATAAAAATCAAATCTTTAACCCTAACATGATACTAACAATCATAAATATTAGGAAGAACATAGGAAGCACCATACTTTTAATCATACTTGATATTAAATTTACCCTAGACATGATACTAGGAATCAAAATAACAACCTAAGCATGATTTCTATATCATAACATCAATAAAAACCATTAAAGTACTTACTTTGATGCCTCATACCTCTTTCTAATAACAAAATACACACGTTAGTAACTTCAAGGAAAATAATAATTAAACAATTAAATTAAATGATGGAAATAGAGATTTGGGACCAAACCCTCAGAAATTAAACCCTTCACGTCTAGGGCGAAGGCAACTTCGAATATGGCTAGGTGTTTCTAGATCTAATGAATGCGGAATTTTGTATGTAAAAGCTAGTTTAGAAAAAGAAAGAGAGAATAATCAAGAGAATCTCGATGAGAGTTAGTGAATGATTATAGAAGAGAATTGGTGATTGTGAATGGAAAACTGGTTGTAGGTGAAAACTGTGAATGAAAACGGAGTTTTTACGACGTTATTTATAAAGAAAATCAGCCAAAAAGATAAAATATCAAAACAGAGTCTGGCGTACGTAAAACTCGATCAGCGCCAACGCTGGCCATTGGCGCCAGGCGCTACAGCTGGCGTTTGGCGCTGATTCAGAAAATCACGCTTTTTCTTAAAATCTGATAAAAATTGCCGTACTGGAGGATAAAATCGTATTTTCCTCAAAAATGCTCCTTGATTTTAATTAAAACTCTGAAAAGTAAAAAAAAGTCAATTTATCAATGCTAATTGAATTAGGAATGAAAATAACCTTCTAGAAGAATCTAGAAGACTAAAACCATTCCTAATGATAAATCATATTAGGCCCTCCCCTAGATCATTGGGCCGCATATAAGGCTCAAAACGGGCCCAGTTTAGTAAATTGGTCATAACTTCCTCAATATTCATCGGAATTGGGCTTATAATATATCATTGGAAAGCTCTTGTCAAGCCCTATCCAACTACACTACTATTGGACCCATATCATGGACCAACCAAACTGGATTGGCTGTTCTTAAAATAAGTTTTCAAAAACAGAGAGAAGAGAAAATAAATTAAAACTATCCGCAACACTAGACTTTCCACACTTTCACTTCATTCGATTATGATTCGACGTGAAAGGTACTCATCACCGGGTTTGGTTTTGGGGAGACACAAATGGGTGTCTACAGAAATATTTATGTATATACATGTATTATCCAATCGGTTATTGAGAATCTGAAAATTTATTTTTGAGAAAACAAAAATTCAGAAAGGAAATTTTGAATACTATTTTTATTAGAAACATGTTGTTTCGAATTAGAATTCAAAATTTGAAAAAGGGTCCAATGAAAGTTTGTTTTGAAAAGCAACTTTTTCTACTAGGCAAAAAATCATATTATTTTCAAAACTGGTCCCAAAATGGAAAGAAAAGTCTAGCTCGTAATTGAGTGTGACTTTTTTGTCCAAGATCGATGAAGGTAAGTTGTAATTCGCAACTTATTTCAACGAAGATATGAAAATGTGAGCAAACTTTTGTATATCTAATTTTGTCATCTTTTCCTTTTTTAGTGTTTGTCATCATTGTCATACTTTAATGTTAGAAAGTGATGTTCTTCCAAAAAGTGCGTAGTTTGAAAATGAATATTTACCAAACTTAGGTTTGATGAAGTGTTAGAATAATTTATAATATCATTCGAATAACTTTCAAAAATATGGTCTCATTTCAAAATGAAAGTTGAGGTGAGGCCTATATTTTTAATTTGAAACCCCCAAGCGTAGACTTTAGGTGGCTTTTGGAATTCATGTATACATATGCTAGGGATGTTTCTCATGTTTATTTGAAGCCCCAAGGTTTGTATTTTTAATTTGTGGAATATTGCATATGTTTATCATGAATTATTTGATTAAGTAACATAATTAATTATCTTGGTCAAATAATAGGAAGTGGTATTCTTCCCTTTGTCATTTTAAAGTTATTAAGATGGTTCATAATGAGTTTTTCATGACATTAATTTTGCAGCAAAAATAGCGT